GAGACTGGGTGTGGTGGTGCACGCCTGCAATTCCGGCACTTGGGAGGTTGTAATCAGTTCAGTCTAGTAGTGAGATCCTGAACACCCTGTAGATCCTTCCCTAAAGCCCTTCTAGGCTTGTATTGCCTCTCATTTTATTGCTGGGTTTATTGCCCAGCAAGGTGTTTAGCTTCTGCTTGCTTGCTGAGCATGAGAGACAGAGGATATGTGAGTTTTCAGCACTGGGGAGACAAGGAGCCAGGTGCAGCTTGGTGACAGCACAGCATCTAAGCCAGACTGCTGAAGTTTTCATTGTGCTTCACCACTACTTAGCTGTTGAAAGTAGCAAGTTACTTAACTTCTTGGTCTCAGTTCCCCAGTATTTCGAATGGGGTATTAAGACCTGTGTGGTAGGCCTGCCGTCAGGATGGCTGAGCAGTCAAAGGCACTGACTGCATTCAGGTCACATTCTCCCCTGGAGGTGTGCATTTGAATCCCACTCCTGACAGCCCCCCTTTGGGCTGGGGAGATAGCCCAATAGAATAAGTGCTTGCCTGGCAAGAGCAAGGTCCTGAGTTCAATCCCCAATACAAAAAGAAAAAAAAAAAAAAAGATGTGTGGTGACACACACACACACACACATAATCCTGGCACTCTGGGAAGATTAAGCAGAAGAAATCCAAGTTTGAGCCAAGCCTGAACAACTTACTTATTAAGACCCTGTCTCAAATATCTAACAATTTTTTTTTGAAAAAAAGAAGTAAGCTATTGGTCAGTGTGGTAGCCCTGAATTCAATCCTTAGTACCACCACCGTACACACACACAAAAGTGTGGGGAGGATAGTAGTAGAATAAGTGAGCACATTTAATATAACATAGGAAGGAATGGATCAAGGCATATAGCAACTTTATGAAATAAGTGAAAGTAAGCCCTGATTCCTACATTCAAAATAGGAGAGAAATCAGATTAGGTCCAACTAAACTAGGCACAGGGGCCGATCTATGCATACGAATGCAGATGCTGTGTTCTCTTCACTCTCATCATCACAATGAGTATGCTTTAGGAAACGCAGGAAGCCCTGCAGATCACCAGAAACTTCTAAACGCAACCCGGCACTGGCTACCCGGGCTCCCTGCCCAACATCGTGTCACAGGCAACTAAGTGAGATCAAATATTATAGGTAGTGGGTAGGGCTAGGCCCTCAAGGGAGCCAGGGCAGCAAATGAGTTACTGCAAAGGTGGGAGAGGTAGGCACCTCCGCTGTGGGCCAGACCTCAAGACAAAAGATAAAACAAAAGTGCCCACATACCTCCCTAAGGATAGACATCAGGGACTGATACTCTAAATAGGTCTCTATCACCTTGAGAAAGCCAGGAAGAGTCACTAACTCAACCCCCTACAGGGAAAGCCTCTGTTCTGTATTCATGCCCACTTACTACATAACTTGCTTCCCCCATTTGATCCCAATTTAGTCAATTTTTGAAAATGTTTAGTACAGGGTCTACAGGGTCTCACTACACAGATTGGACTTGTAGTGATCCTCCTGTTCTTCAGCTTCCCAAGTGCAGGGATTACAGGCGTGCACCACCGTGCCCAGTTTCAATAACCATTGCAGCACACCTTGGGGCGGGGCCGTCATGGACCATTAGGGATCGAACCCCCAGTCCCTGTGTTTGCCTGAGCAGGTGCTCTAATCCACTGAGCTAACTGGCCCCCAATTTAATCAATTTCACCTGGGTAATTATACTTATAATCTTACTGGTTGACCATAGTTTTATCCTACTTTGCAATTTCCCCTTTTTCCCACCTTAGACATTCCACTTGTCATGGGTTCGTTCTAGAAAAATCCCTAGAAAAGGTAAGGTCCTTGGCAACCCACTTGGGACCCCTTCTGTTTCACTCTTGGACAGAAGCTTTCTTTCCTCCAGTAAATATATTCTTTTTTAAAAATATTTTTTATTTGTTTATTTATTTTTTATTTTGTGTGTGTGTGTGTGTGTGTGTGTGTGTGTGTGTGTGGCCAGCTCAGCCCACCAGGGGGCAGGGCTGGCTGGCATGTGGTGCTGGGGGATTGAACCGCGGTCCCTGTGCTTTGCTAAGCTTGTTCTAAGTAGGTGCTTTAGACTACTGAGCCATCTCACCAGCCCCCAGTAAACATATTCTGCTCTTAATCTCTGTTGTTCCCTAAAATTCACCCTTCGATTTTAGAGAATATGAGCTCATACCAGATAACTAGCATGTTGGGAGTTTCTTTCCCCTATGTCAATAGGATGAGATGGTGCCACACTGCCTGCCACTGCCTGGAGCCCCAAGGTATCCTTGTGTCATACCTACCCCTAAGGGCAAGGAAGGCTGGGTACTGCCCACATACTGAGGCAGCATCTGTCACTCAGCTCTGCTTTCTGAAGCAGGCTTGTTCAGCATCATACAGATGTAGTAGCTGAGGCTCAAAAATGTGCAGGTTTTGTTAATAGTGCAGTTAACAACAGAGCTAGGACTCAATCTTGAGCTGAGTTCTGAAGTCCCTGGGTGTCACTGCCTCCATCTATGATGTAGTACTGTACCTCTGGGTTGCAGGGGGAGGCATCTTGGAGGCTGGTGCCAGACTCTCCAGCTCTCTACTGGAAGACAAGGAGAGAGTTTTTAGAAATAACAAAGCCTACCGAAATTAATCTTAAGTCTATTTTTTATTGTTGTTTATATAATAAGAATTCCTTTTTTCTTTTTATTCTCTTTTTTTTTTCAGAACTAGAGATTGAACTCAGACCCTTGCGCTGGCCAAGGAAGAGCTCATTCTACTGAACTATCTCTCTGGCTCCTTATAATAAGCATTCTATTCACCCAAGATATTGGGGTCTTGCTCTAGGCATATTGCAGGAATTAGGTTTATACCTTACAGTGAGTGATAGCAGCAAGCACTAATCCGGCCATGAAGGTTCTTAGAAAAGAGAGAGAACCCAAGAAAGAGTCCAAGCTCTATCACAAGGTGGTTCTGAAACTTCCACTCCTGATACGAGTTCTCCCTTAGATAGCCTGTTTTTGTTCTTTGGGCCTTAACAGTGTCCCCTCAAAAGATGGCAAGGGAAGACTGGGCGTGGTGGCACATGCCTATAATCCCAGCGCTTAGAAGCCTGAAAACAGGAGGATCACTGTGAGTTGGATCTGTGTAGTGAGACCCTGGAGACCCTGTACTAAACACATTAAAAAAAAATAGCAAGGGAAGAACAGGCAGCAGAGAAACAAACATCCTCTGCAGCTTGCCAGTTTCTGGAGTTTCACAGTTAGACACCTTCTTTAGCTTGGATTTGTCAGAACCTGTTTTTGTTTTGTTTTGTTTTTTGGTTTTTTTGAGACAGATTTTGCTTAGGAAGGTGAGGGGGAGGAGCGCAGAGAAAATAGATCCAACAAAGTAGGCGGATCAAATGTCAAAGGTAGGTGGGCAGCAGAGATGGCTGTTCCTCAAAGAGTAAGTTGCAAGATGTCAAATTGCAGTCTATTTTGATGTAGGGTCTCTGGGTCTGGGCAAATCAACCCCTGGTGCTGACCATTCAAAATCATTCAGTCCGTCCTTTACAATTATCTTGTTGAATCAATGGACAAAATAACTCTTGTAAACCACCTCCCAGGTCCCTCCTACCATGGCATAACAAGAACTAAGCAGAGTCCCTTATGAGCCCCTGTTCCAAACGTCTCCTCTCCCACTCTCACACCAAATCTCCCATGGGACAACAAGGAACTTCCTAAAAACTCTAAATGACTTGTGATTGAGTGACTCTCCTTGAAAGAAGAGCTGTTGTCTCGATTTTGGCTGTGCCTGACCCTGTTTCCATGTACTGCTGTGTACAGAGCTGGCTAGGACTTTTCCTTACCCCTCCAATCGGCTTTATGTAATGCATATTGGCCTAGTTGTGGTGCTGGTGGTAGTATTTAAAGATGGCACGCATGTTTCCCTGGCAACCCCCACATGCTGCTTTTTAATATGAGCTGGTAGAGATGGATGAAAAACCAGTGTTCCACGCTGTCAACTGGGATTGAGCCTTGAGACAGAAGCTATGACTTCTTGGGGCTTGAAAGATTACATATCACAGCTAAGGCCCTGGACCTCCCAAAAAATTAGATACTATCTCAGTTGTGTAATGAAGATTACTCTCTGCATATCCTTCTTCCTGCATATTGCGGGGGTAAATACAGGCCTCCTACCTAGGCCAGCTCACAGTACTCCCCTATTTCCTGCCATTCTCAGTCATTGATCCTCAAGCCACTACTCCTTCAAGGCTGAATAAAACATGGGTTGGGCTCTGGACCGAGGTCTTTGTTCCGGATAGCCATCACCATGACTGGACTTAGGACCCCTTGGCTCCTCATAACTATAAATATGCCTTAGTGTCTTTATTTTCACTGTGACTTGCACTGGAACTGGTAGATTGGAATTAACTTGATGGGATTCCAATAGTTTATTCATGGGATTACAAATACAAACTTCCCTGACTGAGAGGAAGACCAGGAAAGGCTTCTGTAATGACTCAGTCTCCCCATCTGGATAAATCGAATAATAATAGCAGCTCTTTCTCTATCAACACAGTGGAAATTATACACCCAAAACCTATTTTATATTTTTTTGAAATGATGTGTGTGTGTGTGTGTAAATCCCAACAATTCCAGTATGCGCGGTGCTGTTGTAATTGCCACTCTCTAGTTACCACGGAAAGGTGCCTAACAAGTCCCAAGGTACCTTTCCCAAATCAGCCAGCCTGTACAAGGATCAAGGGAAAACTGACTTCCCTGATCCTGTGAGTAGATAAACCAAATCTGTCTACTTCCCTTGAAAACCATCTTCTGCCTGCGCCCTCGCAGCTCCTTGGTCCTAGTATAGGCGGGTCCAGGGCTTCTTGATTTCTTTCAGGTCCACAACTTTGCTAGCCGACTCACTGCGACTATCCTAAAGGACTACAGCTCCCGGCATGCCGTGCGCAGGCACTGGAGCCACGTGACCGCGCTCCTTGGCAGACGTTGTCACGTGACTCTGGAAAGATGGCCGCCTTGACTGAGGAGGATTTCGTAGCGCTGCAGAGCCTGCTGAAGGTAACTAGAAGGGAGCGGACGCGTGCCGCTGCGCTTTGTCTCTAGCACTTTGCGCCAGCAGAAATTGGGAATGAATTGGCACAGGTTTGGAGCCACCATTCTGCCACTACGTCTCTGTGTTAGTCGGGGCGAACTAATGCGCGGCTTCTGGAGCTTATTTAAAGCAGGAGCAAAGAGCGGCCTGAGAAGACAGAAGGGAAAAAATGAGATGATGGACACGGAGGCGCTGTACAGATGCTGCCTGGGACTGGTTTCTGATATCGGTGCATGGGGGTGGTGGTTGCTCGACCTGCCTCCCCAGTTCCGCGTTTCAATCCCCCGGCTAACTACGTCAGGATCACGTGACCCGGACCCCGACCCAGGATGTGCTGCGGCCCCCGAGCACCACTGTCAGTCTTCTCCACTCCCTTCGGCCAATACAAGGGCCACAGTAGTCTCCTGATAATCATTTCTTTGCAAGATTGTGGCGTTGAAAGAGAGGTACCTAGAAGGGCTTGAGTTACATGAGGTTGGAATCAGGTGTTGTCACTAATTGACATCACAACGATCTCTTTCCTCTTTTTCTAGTTAAGTGAAGAGGGTCAAATTAATTGCATTCGCTTCATGGCACAACATCATCAGTCCATGAAATAGTCTCTGATTTGTTTTAGTGGTCTCCCCAGTGTTCATTTATTTTGTTGTCGCTGTGTGGCCCAACAAATAGAACAACACCTGGGAGATAGCCTGCGCTCGATAAGTCGCTGTTAAATAACTGAATTAATGTCGTGGCTGAGCTGGGGACTGGAAACCTAGTTCTCAGCTTCCAACCTGGTGCCTTTCACTTTTTTTTTTTTTTAAAAAAAGATACATATTTTTTTTAACTTTACAGAGAAAAATATAAAACATTTCAAAACAAGATAATAGAATAACAATGGTTTATACATTGCCTATTGCCCCCATCCCAGTTTCTCTTTTCTTTTGAAGTTTCTTTCCATTTTACACTATCTGTTGTACATTTTGGATTACATTTAATCTTACACTAGGGAGACAATAATATGTTTACACATACATGTGCATCTGATTTATTTCATTTATGAGTATGGTCTTAAGTTGCATCCATTGACTTATAAGTGTTCAGTTGAGATAGAATGTCAGTGGTTTTAATTTGTATCTCTGGGATGACTAGTCATGTGGAATATTTTTTTATATTTTTATTTGTTTATATTTTAATCTGAAGAGTCCATTTGGATTGGACTTTTAAATTTGGGAGTTCTGATTTTTTTTTTTCTTTATATGTTCTCAATAATAATCCTTTGAGAAACAACCAGCAAACATTTTTCCCATATTGTGGATTGTCTCTTTACTCTATTGGTGTGTCTTTGCTGGGCAAAAGCTTTTTAATAAGTTGAGATCCCAGTTGTTGATTCTTTGTGATAGTTCCTGTGCTGTCAGGGTTTTATTCATAAAGTCGTTGCCTATACTGTTGTCTTAAAAAAAAATTTTTTTTTAATGTTTCTGTTTTACTATTTAGATCTTTGATCCAGTTCAGATTTAGTTTAGTTTATGCCTGGTGAAAGATAGAGTTCTAATTTTAATCATCAGCATGTGCAGAGCCAGTTTTTCCAGCAACTTTATTAAAGAGGGTATCTTTCTTCCAGTGCGTATGTTTGGCATCTTTGTCAAAAGAGGTGGCTAAATATGTCTGTAATTGTTTCTGCATCTTCTAGTCTGTTCCACTGATGATGATGATGATGATCTTCTTCCACCTCTTTTTTTTTTTCTTGCCAGTACCACTGTTTTTATCACAGTAGCTTTATAGTATAATTTCAAGTCAGGGATTGTGGTGCCCCTAGCCTTGCCTTTGTTGCCCAGGATTGCCTTTGTTATGCTTGGTTTCTTCTAGTTCCAAGTGAATTTTAGGATTGTTTTAATTCTGTGAGGTAATCTATTGGAATTTTGATAGAAGTTACATTAAATTCCTATAACAATTTTGGAAGTACACCTTTTTTCACTGTATGGTTCTTGCTACCTAAGAGCAAGGGATATATTTCCATTTTCTGATATCTTCTTCAATTTCTTTTTTCAGAGTACTGTAGTTTTCAATATAGAGGTCTTTTACATTCTTCGTTAGTTAAGTCTTAGGTATTTCCTTTTTGGGGCTGCTTTTCTGAAAGGTGTTGTTTCTCTAATTTGTCAGTAAGTATAAGTCATGTACAGGAAGGCTGTTGATCTTACAGTACTGACTTTGCATCCAGGTACACTAGTAAATTTGCTTATTAAATTTAGCATTATTTAATGGAGTTTTGGGAATCTGAGGTAAGTATCATCTATTCCAGTTTTCTGTAGGATTTTATCATCAGTGGGTGCTGAACTTTAACAAAAGCTTTTTCCACATCTATTGAGGTGTTTGTATCATTTCTGTCCTTGACTCTGTTGATACGGTGTATTGCATTTGTAGATTTACATATGTTGAGCCCTCTGCATCCTTAGGATGAATCCCACTTGGTCACGGTATATAATCTTCTTGATTTGCTTCCTTCTGTTTGCCAGTGTCTTATTGAGGATTTTTGCATCTATGTTCAATGAGGAGATTGGCCCGTAATTTCTTTCTTGGTTGGGTCCTTCCTGGTTTTGGTATTAGGGTAATGCTTGCTTCCAGGAATGAATTTGGGACTATTGCTTACCTTTCAATTTCATTAAAGAGTTGGAAAAGTACTCATGTTAGGTCTTTCTAAAATTTCTTACAGAATTCAGTAATACTGATTTAGGGCTTGGGCTTTTCTTTGTTGGTAGGTGTTTAATTACATCTTCAATTTCATTGATATTGGTTTATTTAGGGTTTTAATATCTTTTTATTCAGCTTTGGTAATTCATATGTATCTAGGAATCTGCCCCTTTCTTCTGCATTTTCCATCTTACTAGAATACAAGTTTTTGAAGTAGGTGTAGATGATCTTCTGGATTTCTACAGAATCCATTGTGATTTCACCCTTTTTATTTCTTTTTCCCCCCCCTGAAATATATATTTCTTTTTCCATAGTTTTATTGAGAAACAAATAGCAATGAGACAGTTTCAAACCAAATTGGTAGGACAGTTTCAATAATTAACAAATTGCATACATTCTTCCTAATGGTTGCTTGCTGTACAAGATGCGTACATGATATCCTATTTACAAGCACCATTAGAATAAATCCCTCTATTCATTAAGAGAATGTAACTATATACCTATACTAACCACTTTGAATAACAGATACAAAATGAGCATTCATTTGTATCCCCTTTTTTTTGTTAAGTTCCATCATTTAAATATTATAGGTGTGTAATCTCAGCAAAATATTCTAAAAGAGTTCAGAAGTCCATAATAGTATTGGGTCTTCCGCTTAACTGGTAATGTCAGAAATTGTTGACCTGACTCCCCTACAGCTCAACATAACACCATGACTTTACTTCTTATACTT